ACACTATACAGTAGAAATGTCAACATCCAAGATACCTTAGAAGATATTCCTTACTTACAAGGACCTCTAGGACTAGACGATGAAGTCAGATCAGCACTCTGGCCACTACCAAGTTGGAAGGCTATAAACTTCTGCAGCCAGATACACCTCTTTTCTGCTTCAGGGCTGTGATTGGTGGACATTTCTCTACCGGCTGTGAAATCGGCCAATCATTTTGCTGCACACTCAAAATCAGGGGCGGCAAAGGCAGAATTGAGACAAGTTAATTAGGGGCAACAGGTGAAGAAGAGCTCACACTGGAGAATTTTCTACCAAGGAGAGTGGGTTAACACTTTAAGTCAGCATTGCCAAAACCCCATAGATTGGCAACCAGTTTTAAAAAACAGAGTAAAAATAAGTAGGCAATCCTCTCATTGCTGAAAAGTGGGGTGAAGAAGGAATCAGTGCTGTGGCCACTGCTTTTTAACCAGTAAATACATGATCTGGAGTTGGGGCCCTGCTTGCTGATGACACCAAACTGTTCAGGTGATAAAATCAAGAACAGGAGCTTCAAAAGGATGTCTCCAGCCTGGGAAACGGATTTCGGTCTCAAGACAGCAAAATAATCCAGACCTGGCCTATACCTGAATGGATCTAGGGGTCACGGTGGAGAGCTTGGTAGAAATGCCACCCCAGAAGGTAAAGCCTCTGCTGCAAAAAGGGGAATTCCATGCCTGGAGCCGTTAAGCAGATGGAAGGAGTGCTGCTAGCCTAATAATGCCCTTGCAGAGGGATGCTGAGGCCACGTCGGAAAACCGAGGGTAGTTTCAATCCGCACTTTGAGAGGGACAATGCAGAATTAGAATTAGAAAATGTTCGAAGTTAGAACATTTAGAACATTTTCTAAAGAGGGCAACCAAAGGATGGGGGGGGGCGGAAGAACTCCCCTGTAAGGAAAGACTGCACCCCGAGCCTTTTTAGCCCAGAAGGGAGGAAGGCAGGAGAGACGAGACACCCAGCGATCAACGGCTATTCATCCTGCTGGCTGGCTGCTCCCTCCAGAACCACAACCGCTGGCACACTTTGGCTCCTGAACGCAGCCAGCTGGCCGCTGGGGGAACGCCGGGGCACCGCCACCATGGCGAAGCCTCAGAACTAGAGCAACGGCAGCTGAGAGTCTTGGAGGAGTCTTGCCACATCAGAGCCCCTTTCTGTGATCACTAAAAAATCTGGGAAGATGGGGCAGAGAGGGGCAAATGTCATTCTTGTCTTCAAAAAGAGGAAAAAGGGGTGGATGCAACATGCCTTGATTTCAGCAAAGCATCTGATCAAGACTCCCATTTCCAAAATGTGGGCTGGACTGAGTTGCCATTAGATGGACACAGAACAGGTTGAGCGCATGTATTCAACAAGTGTATCTTAGCAGCCGTGCATTGTGGAGGAACAAAATGTCACGGGGATACCACAGGACTCCATTCTAAGGCCTGTGCTGCTCAGCGGATTTCATAAATGACTTGGATAAGAGATCAGACCATATGATTGTTAAATCTCTCTGACAAAACCCCTTATTCAGGGGGGCCTTGACAAGCTGGAGCAGTGGGCAGAAACCAGCAAGATGAATTTGAATAGGAACTAATGTGAAGACCTACATTTGAGCAAGAAAAAAAAATCTAATCCATATATACACAGGGGCAAGAGGGGAAACACACACGTCTTTCAAGATGGCACAGAGGGGAATTGAGTGCTGATGAATGTGACTGAATGGGGGAGGGGCTTCCAGAGACAGATTGTCTGTGGTGCTTCGGGGGTTGGGGGACTGATGGCTTGGGTGACCAGGACAGTCCTGGTGAGGGAGCGAGCTCCGATGGAGCGCGCTGGGTCCTAGGGAGTTGCTGGGTGGGCTGGCCTGTGGGCTGCACTGAGAGGGTCTCGGGCAAACCTTGGAGTGGGGCTTCAGTGGAAGTGGCACGCACTTTCGGCATCAGGGCCTGGCTGGAGGTTTTCTAGCCTGGGAAGCACACTAGACCTGGTGTAGCTGGAGCAGCAAGACTGCTGGGCCCCGAGGTGTGCTGGACCTCCAGCGAAGAATAACATCCTAAAACACAGCGGTGAGAAGCCTGGAGCGGGGTCAGGCCAAGGGACACCTCTTCTGGGCCCAAGCCCCAGACTTTGTCAAACTAGGTCGCTACAGACGGTTTGCCAGCAGCTGAGGAGCTCGGGGTTTTTCTTGAGGACCCAGTAAGCAGTTCAACTGAAGCCTTGGATCAGATTTCCCTGTGTGGCCTCTCCCTGACTGTCAATCCTGGGGGGCTCTCTGGTTTTCCAAGGATCTTCAGGAAATTAAATGACACCTAGGGCACTACAGGTAGTCCCTGGTTAACGATCATTCGTTTAGCAACCATTCCAAGTTACAGCACTGAACAAATGGTAGTTGTGACTGATCTTCAAAGTTACAACCATTGTAGTGCCCCTGTGATCAAAATTTGGGCGCTTGGCAGTCCACCCACATTTATGAACATAGTGTACACTTCAACTCCCCCCAGCCGCCTATTTCCCCCCATCTCTCCCCTTTTGGCTGCCCCTACTGCCCTGCCACCCTGCACTGCTGCCACCCTTCGCCATCTTCTTTGGAGGCGTTGCAAATGGACAGCAGCTGTCTTGGCCAGATGTGCCTCAGCTGCAGCAGCAGGAAGAAGTGGCAAAGGTCAACTGAGGGCGGTGGGGGGCAGCAGCCATGGAGTGCAAGGCGGCCAAAAGGGCTGAGATGGGGGGGGAGATAGGCAGGTGGGGGAGCTGAAGTGGAGATGAGCGCAGTGGGGCAGCGGAGCCTTGACTGCCAAAGGGAGCTTACAGGCCCAGCCAGGGAGGAGGCAGCAGAATAGAGCTGGCAGTTCACGCAGGGCAGGAGAAGCACGAGGCCTAACGACTGCAACCAGGACTACCGGAACCACCGTCGCTAATCAGTGTGTGATATTTCACCTGACCACCACCTCACTTAGCAGTGGAAATCCCGATCCCAATCAGGGTTGTTAAGGGAGGACCGTATTGGAGAAAGACAAAGAATGACCCAACTGAGCACATGGGATTACATTGGGGGGGGGATAAGAACAGCAAAACATATCTATTTTTCCATTCCTATTGTGTCTGCAGAGAGCCCTTTTTAAGGTGAGGAATGGATGGGCTCCAAGAACATCTACAGAGCCACTGTGAAGCATAGTCTAGGCATGACCAATAAAATCACCAGGGCCTGCTCAGAGTTGCACTCTGACTGGGAAGGTCCAGTCAAGGCAATTGAGGCACATCTCAGATACTTGGGAAGAATTTGATCTGGTATCTCCTGAGGAAGAGGACACAATTCTTGGGACTGTTAACCCAGCCACCCGCTTTTAGACCCACATGCCCCTGGTTGGGGAAGGCCTCCAGGGAGGCGATGTGATTGGATCCATGTGGCCGTGACTTCTTCTCTGGCAGAGGCAGGAGTGCTCCCCATCCTCAAGAGATCTAACCCTGCGAGCCCTGCACAACCTTCATCCAGTCTCTGACCTCCCCATGCAGGCTGCAACTTCAAAGAGCCATGAAGGAAAAAGATTAGTGGGACATCCTTCACCCAGACTTCAGGCCAGGGCACTGTACTGAGACAGCCTTGATCGCACTTGCGGATGACCTCTGGTAGGGTTGAGAAAGGTTATTATGTAGAAGATGGGGCAAAAATTGTTCACAGCTTTTCCAGAAAACAAGAAATAATGAGTTTAAATTGCAAGGAAGTAGATCTGGGCTGGACACAGGGAAGAACTTTCCAATGGTAAGAGACGTTCAGGTACGGCCCATCCTGCCTTGGGAGGTGTTGAAACCAAAGCTGGAAGGCCATTTGTCCCAGAGGTATTGGGCAGGGGGCTCGACTAGGTGATCTCCAGTGTAAAGCTCAGAAGCTCCAAAGTTTGTTGCTACCTGTTTACTCGGATTCATTCTCTCTCTCTCTCTCTCTCTCTCTCTCTCTCTCTCTCTCAGTAAGTTACACAGGAAGCTCTGAGAACATTAACCGAGAAAGATATGCCAAATTCAGAAAAATCTAAAGGGGGTGAATGGTTTTTCACAGAACTGGAACTATTCTAAACAAGCCAATGGTTTGTGCACACCTACGTGCACCCACAGCCATGCCCACGCCCAGGTGCAGCTGCTAAGAAACCACCCCACGGGCTGCTATGCCACCCTCCCCGCTTCATCGCTGACAGAGGCCTTCAGAAAGAAATAGAAGGAACGACGCCTCCCCTGCACGTTCCAAAGGCTGCCCAGAGAACGCAGGATGGCGCTTCGGAGGAGACCCTGGCTCGGCCCGCAAACGTCCGGGGAGCAGAACTGCTACCACCTCTCCTTCCCCACGCCCTTCAGCGGAGAAACGGCAACCCTGCACGGCCCGCCAGGAGAGGCTCCTCAGAACACGCAGCTCCGCCCGCTTCCCCGCGCTGACCCTCGCCTGGCCCTCCCGCACAACGGGAAAAGCAGACTATTGCCCCCCACCCCCACCCCCGCCCGGCTAGGAGGAGCAGCAGAAACCGCTCAGATTGGCTTGGTCTCCCGGGAGGAGGAGGAGACGCAGCGCTCCCTCCAACGTGGACCTTGGACTCCGGGGCTCTTCACACGAGCAAATACAAATCACCGTCCGGAAATGTCCCTCCAGCTCCCGAGGAAGCGATGCTTTTACGCGCTGCCTAGCAGATCCTGCCCTGCCTCGCCGGCCTGAAAGGGCCACGTGCTTCCCTTCCAACTTCTCCAGGGCCCCGAATTCGGCCCAGGCACGAAAGAGCCTTCCCGCCCCCCTTTGCACTTTCTGGGCCCCTCCGCAAAGGTTCCCCGGCGGTGGGGTTCAGATTCTCGGTAAGAACGTGGGAACCGCCCGGAGCCACGTTCCAGGCTTCGCGCAGCGAGCTCCGCGGGCCAAGCGAGGCCGGCCGGAGGGAAGAAGCTTCTTTGCCCGCCCGCCGGAAAACAAGGCTCCCCGCCGAACAGCAGCGCCCCTCGAGGAGCAGACGGGGTTGGGGCGCCCCGGAGCCCCGCAAGCAGCGCAGAAGTCCGGACGCCCAAAGCGCCTCCCGCTGGCCTGTTACCTCTCCGGTCAGTGGCGCCGCCGCCGCGGGCCGCTTTTCCTCCGCGAGCAAGGGGAGCCCGGCGTCAGCTGGCGAGCAGCTCTCGCGCCGAAAACCCCCAACCGGCGGGCGCGCTTCGGGCAGAAGCAGAGGCGGAGCGGGCAGAGTCAGCACGGAAGCCGCCGCAACCCCGCTCCCGAATGAGGCGCTGGCAAAAGGCCGGGAGGGCGGGCTGTCTTGGCAGCCTGGCCGGTTGGGGCCGCCCCGCCACCGGCTCTCGCCACCGGGCAGACCGGCGAGGGGAAAGCGAAGACGACCCACTCGCGGCGCGG